GATCATCAGATATTGTCCAAGATTGACCTTCAGGGTGGATATAGTTCACTAGCAGCCTCGTGCTGATGACCTAGTTGATGTCATCATTTACCCAGAATGCTTTGCGTGTAAATAAAATGGCCCTGTCTGTGTAATATATTTTTAAACTTTTAGTTTAAAATGATAAAAACTGAACATCCTACAGTATTTTTACAGTCTTTATTTTCCAGTTAAAGTATATGTTTCTCATAGAAAGTCTAATGTTACAACTAATCGGGGATCCCTTTAAAATTGTCAGAAGGGCAAAAGTCGGCATGATTTGCCTGTAGTGTGACGCCGGCCTTAGTTGCAGAAATTCGTCCAGAGTCTCAGAATCTTTTGATGATTTTATGGACTGTAGATGATGAAATCCTTAAATTCCTTGCAATCGTGATTTGAGAAACGTTCTACAACTGTTGGACTATTTGCTCACACAGTTATTCACAAAGTAGTGAACCTTGCCCTGCTTGTGAATGACTGAGCCTTTCGTGGATGCTCTCCTTAAACAAGAGTGAAAGAGGGGCTTGTGGAGCTACAATAACAAGAAACTCACACCAAAGCRTTGCAGTTCCACTTTTTATGAACCTCAATTGAATGATTTAAATGTAAAWAGGAAAGGTTTAAAAGGACTTTCGATAGAAAACTAGCATCACGTTAAGTAATTCAGACTTTTTCACAGCTAAATACAGCAGGAAGCTTATATTGATTGTATACTTTTCTGTGAACTTGAGAGTGTGGGTTGTCCTGTGATAAACAACAGTAAATGCTTCTGCTCTTACTTTCTCTCTTCCCACACAAGCTGCTCGTTGGCAGGAGGTTGTAAAAATCCTCACAGGTGGTTTTATAATACCAAAATGTCGCTTTTTCCCCCTTTGGCTCTTTTCAAAAACTTTCTCAAAGTTACTTGTGGAATCGGCGGTTCTCTCTCAGACTGGACTGTGGATTGTGTGGGGCAATTTAGGCATAAGTGGATTTCAGGCACGTGGGAGGGTGTGGCAGAAAATCCCGTTGTGAACATGGATGTGAAGAGATTTTTGAAAAACTAGGTTGTTTTTTGCTGTGAATAAAAGACTATTGATTTTAAAATAGAAAGAGCTGATGTACGGAAAGTTAACAGTTAAATACCTACAGCTTGATTAGTGACAACAGTGACCTCTTTCATTAAATCTGTGTGAATGATGGGTAAACACGTCGTCATTAGTATATTCACAAAACACATCATTTACATGATTCCTAATTACATTTCAAGACCCGACACACTTATTAGCGTTTCCTGCTCTGTTGCAGCTGACGTACACATCATTTAGACTCTGTGTTTATTTCTCAACATTAGAATGAATATTAAATGAACTCTTTAAAAACACAACGTCTCTTACATGCCGACTGTAGATAACGACTTTCCTTTTCTGTCGCCGAGTTGATTTTTTATTCGCTCAAACTTAATTATGCTGTAAAAAAACAAAATAAAGTCAAAAACTTTGCATTTATTTTTGTTTACGTGCACACGAACTCTCACATAATTAGTCCAAAAGTTGGAGACAGAATGGTAACTTGCTCGACAGAACTTTAATTTAAGTTTTACTTTCTGGTGTTTACTAAGAATATAGAACTCATCGGCTTTAGATTTATTTTAATTGAAAAGAGACTCAAATGATTTTGCACAAACTGAGGATATTACTTTTTTGTATGTTTTACAAGAAACCAATTATAATAAATAGGAGCATAACGATTTTGAAGTGAAGGTATTTCCAGCAACTTTAGTAGTTTAATAATTAGACTAAAATAAATAATTAATAATCACATTGAATCAGAATCACTAAGTAAATAATTAGGAGTAAAAATAATTAAAAAATTGTCTAACTATAGTTTTAAAATATTTTTAACAGTCTAAAGAAAAAAGTCTTGGCTGTTTTTCTAAATGCATTTTTGTAAAAGTCATAAAACATGTTTCAAAAATTAACTGACTACCCCCCCCCTCACCTCCACCATTTTTTGAAATGTTACAGAACAGTGCAGCCAAACTCTTTTTATAAAAACATAAAATATAACAGAACAATTATCCAAATAAGCTTTCTGAACAGATTTTAATTAGTGAGCTTTAGCTAAATACACAGGACATTTAACAAATATATTATAAATAATTTAATATTAATGTCTCTGTTTTGACAGATAGTCAATGTGTGCTAATCTTTATGATCCAATCACCCATTTTTATATTAGAGTTGT